ACAAGATTCCAGTGAGATCTTCCCTGTGAATAAACTAAAGGTAAATTTTCCCTTCCCTGTTCGCCAAGTTGGGGGGGGGCATGCAGTGCAGCTTCTCACAAGAATGTTCCTTGCAGCATTGCTGCATTGGGTCGTGCAATTTGAAGAGGTTTCTGAAGAGGATAGTCATAGGAGGGATTTCCAAGGAGCTGGTGGTTCTAAGTTCAGGTGACAACAACTGACCGTGTACGCACAAACACCTATGCACATTGCAACATAGTTTTTCCACATTGCACATTGCAACTAGCCAAATAAAATTTGATTTTTGATGAAATTCCACTGTTTTTTCTCTAACATTTTTTTACTTTTTGGTTATTTTTTCTGTTTCTGTTTCTCTTTCCCTTTTCATCTTTTCATTTTTTTCATTTTTCATTTTCCTTTTGTTTCTAAAAAATGTTCTCAATTTTTTTAATCAATAATATTTATTAAACTGCATAATTATTTTGAATGTGATAACAGTTTTTACATTTTTAAACTTCAAGAATTTTTTATTGGACAATATTTTAAATATTCGAGAACATTTTTTAAAATTCAAGATCAATTTTGGTATTTGAGAAAAAAAATCAAGAAAGCTTTTTCTTTTGAGAAACCTCAATTCTTTACTACTCAATGTTCACAATGTTTGGAATGCAAATAAGATCATGGGGTCCAATGTGGCGCCCCTGTCCTAAAGAATGAGAAAATTTGGCAAGCGAATGGGCTTCAATATTCGATGCAGGACCCTCAAAAGAAAATCACAATTAAAATTTGATTTCAGCAATAATTTGACTATGCAACCTGATGCTTCCCTTCTGGATGTCCCTTACAACTTGCTTTGAATCCGTGGCAATCACAATGTCATGGAGAAAATGATCCTCGGCCAAAGATAGTGCTTCCCTGCAAGAAATTATTTCGAGAGTAACCACATCTCAAACACCATAGTTCACCAATGCAGACGAGCCTAGATAATTTTCATTTGAATCCAAGCAAACCGTTGTCACAGAGCCCCCGATGCTTGATCAAGCAAGGCCCGCATCTACATGGACTTTGGCATATCCAACTGGTGGCGCCACCATATGAGTTGGACCCTGCCGACCATCCCTCGCATGTTGTGGTTGATTCAATGTCTCCCGGGCGTCTGTGTCTAGCTTACTCGTGAGGCGCAGGGAGCCCTCACCTCTAGTGACATTGTCTCGGGCTGGCCCACTAATTGCAACCAACGTGAGGGCAGTTTGTTAGTTTTGTTACTTTTTTAAATCATTTTCACATTTTTTGATATTTCAAAAAATCAATATAAATAATTTACTTACATTTTTTAAACATTCACCGCATATATAAAATGTCCGCATGGCTTTATTTGTACCATTCCAAAAAAATGGTCACATGTTTAAAAAAATGTTCATGGAATTTTTTAAAAATGTTTATACAAGGCAAAAAATGGTTACATAATTTTTGTAAAACATGTTTCGTATCATTCAAAAAAATCATGACATTTTTTAAAATGTTTATACAATGTAAGCATATATTCATATAATTTAATAAATATTTCTTACCATTCAAAAAAATATCAATATGTATTGGAATTTTTTTAACATGTATTAAAAAAACGTGTATTAGAAGTAATGTCCGTCATGTATTAAAAAATTCAACATGTATCACAAAAAGTATTTCCCTTGTATACAAAAATGTACCATGTGTACTAAAAAAGTCGACATGTGTTTAAAAAATAAAGTAAAAAATATAATTTAAAAAACTAAAACCCCCCAAAAAATACATAAAAACAAATAAGAAACAAACTCACCCCTCCCTGGCCTGCTAGTTCCCCATCTTCGTCAGACGCTGTAGCGCATGGCCCCCTCCATGCAGCCCCTTTGGCTCGCTCCTATCGCGTCAAAAATATTC